CATTTTGGAAGAAGCTGACTTTCCTTTTCAGGTTCACATCTGTATTGTGACTATAAATGACACATTTCAGTGCGCACCATTATAAATATCACTTTGCCAGCACGCCAACACCACCACTAGAATTGGCCACTTTGGAACATAAATCAGAACCAGTAATATCGTTTATGTTATTTCCCAATTCTCATAGTGAGGCTTGAACTTTTTTTTTTTTACTTCATAAACTATCTAAACAAATGCCCTACTGTGAGATCTTGTACGCCAATTACCCATGTCGACCTGAAAAAGTTTCAGCTACTTCTTAAGAATGTAGAGAACACGAGTTTGTGCACAAACACGCACAATATACACATAGATGGTGGCTTTTTTGGTGTGGTTTTCTTTTTTTTTTTTTCCAATCCTCAGGCCTTGAAACAGTAACAGAAAGATGGCAGGACATCTCTTTTGTGCCAAGGATGCTTTCATTGCCATCTCTACAGGTCACTAATATATTCACTGTCATTCCTATGGAATGATCCAAATTTTGCCATTTATAAGCTTTTGAGAAAACCTGCAGCTAAATGTTGTCCTGGAGAACAGGAATGTAGCCAGACTCTACCACAGATCTCTGGTAGGATGCCAGGCAAGTCACTTAAAATCAACCTTTCAGATGATTATTAGGCCGTGCGTGCCTGAACCGGGCCAATACACGAAAATTCAAATAACAAAATCCATAGTTTCAACACTTACTTAGGCCTAGCTATGCTGAGAAATAAGCATCTTAAGTTCTCAAAATTCTGTCCTTTTTGTCAAAGATTTGCTTCAGTAGAGCTACCTGAAAAAAATGAAGATAACTCCCCCCCCCAACACTACTTTAATGAATCGCTTGAACACTGTAGTTACAAACATCTTTAAAAGCCACAGAAGAAAAAAATTATTGCTTTCATCTTCTGAGTAGGACTTGAATGGTACACCATAAACCTGGCATCTTGAGCAATGAAGCTAGCCCAAAATATCAAACAGATGCTCATTAAAACAAGCACTATTCATCTTGAGATGAATCCTGTGGAAGGTATATGGTCATGTAATTAAAGACTGTATCATAATGCATCTATGAAGAGGTAAAACTCTATTCGTAATCACATGAAAAATCCACAACTCCTTTATTGGTCTTCAGAGAGGATATTTTGTTAAAAATATATAAATTAAAAGGAAACAAATAATCAGAAGAGACCAAACTAGAAATCTGGTTTCAAAGTGATAGAGCTGCCTAACAACAGAAAAGAAATTTGTATCAAGTCCCAGTGCAATGTAATTCATTAAGAGGAACAAAATTACATCCATCAGCAGCTACAGTAGCTAATAGGTTACTACTGGTCAGAGTTCTTTTTCATACATCTATTTTTTTCCCCCCAGATACATATATATACACACACATACAAAAAAAAAAATCCATGTATGATGTCACCTCTGATTGTTCAGCTTGCCAAGCATAGCCACCTGATCACACCATCACACCTCTCCTTTCCATGTCTTATTAGTGCTGTGTGATGCTCAAAGGACAAATAACCAGGTGGCATTTATTGTTTGAGTTATAAAATAATACTGATGGTCTCTTCCAGTAACAAAAGATTATGCTTATCCTGTGTAATTCTAGATCTCTTAGGAAAGCACACCAACCAGCACCCTTACTACACACATCAAACTAAAATAACTAGATTTGAACAACTACCATGCAAGACTTTTCCTCCAAACGCCACTCATTTCCTTCTTATTCCTGGGACTGAGGGGACCCTTGGCACAGGGCCACAAATCTTTGTGAACTGAAGAATGGTAAGAACAAGCCAAAGATCTGTCTTATTGCTTTCAATATTTTTCAGTAATTCAAGACAGGTCAAGCACATCAAAAGACTGCAGTACCTATGTGATCACTAAAAGAGCGTCACTGGGCTGGCAGTGAAATATATCTTTTATTAGCAGACTTCATTTCAATAATACCCAAAGTGAAAACGTAACCTATACCTTCTTCCAGGTTGTGCGTAAGTTACTCCAATGTACTCTGCAATTCAGGATTTAATCATTAGACAGTCATGAAAGAACTATGTATCTTAAGTCACATTTTTAAAAGCCATTATACCTGTCAATTTTTTCATTTTTTCTTAAGACAACCTTGAGTAAAGTTCCTCCAAACAACACATCAAAGGGAAAAGGAGAAATGAGATAAAAAGATAGCATTTTGTTAGGCTCGAGCCTACCACGGGAACCTTCACACACCAGACTTTCAAGTGATTTTTTTTCACATAATAAAACAAGTTTAAGATGCAATGTGTGAAGATTTTCAAAAGATCATTGTTTCAAAATCCACAAAAATTTTTTTTTGAAACATCCCTCATCCTCCTAACATTTAAGATTAGGAAAATTGTAATGAAAGCACTGCAAAGCTAGTTGAGAGGACGCTTAAAACCAGCAAGGACACAGCCAAATAGAATGAACCTACTGAAATCCACTTAAGTACATTAAATACAAGAACTAAGCGGAACTACTTTTGCAACAATCCAGCTTTGATTTCTCTGCCATCTTTCACCCAGAGCATACTTTTACTCCCTGTTCAGCAGATGACAACAGCTGTGTTGGCATCAAGGAACATCACCCACAGATCAACACCATGTTCAGATCAGTGTCTACAGCACTGCTTCAGACTCTTCCAATTTATGAAATATGAAGCACGTAGGACCAGTACACTTGATTGATGCTGATGATTTTTCTTATATTAAACAATTTAGGAAAAACAACACAATTTTTCACTTCTCTCTCCATTTTCACCATGATGAACATAATGGTCACTTTGCATACCATTTTCACAGAACAGTAGATTTAAACCATATCCCTCATTCCCTAACTAAACTAGTGTGAAATTAAGATTTAACAACATGAACTAAAACTAATTCACAGAATTTTGTGAAACCTCGCACAGGAGATTTTTGCATTCAATTCCACATTGTCCCAGCAAATCAAGCTGTGAGAATGTAGGCGAGGATGTCACAGAAGTAATTAAGACTTCCTCCTTGAAATAAGATCAAGTCAGATATCAATAACAGATTTAGGATTCTGGGAACATACTAACAGGAAAATAACTCATAACCAAAAATTATTAATTCAAAAAGTTTTGCTTTGAGGCAAAGCAAGACAAAGTGTGTATACCTTGAAACTCCAAGCTTGCCTTCCCTCTCTACCAAGAATTCACATCTTTCAGTCCCATTTTCCAAGCAAAATAACACCTACCTGGAGAAAAAGCATGGAAAGTTTCATTGCCAAAGTGGTGTTTTTTGCTGAGCTAAGATGCGCCCTTAACACTTTCATTTTAAACTTCTGCATAAATTCTAAATTATATCTTTTGTTCATACAAAATCTGTAATTGTATGCCAGCCCTATGTCGAAGTACAATTTGTTTCTCTTACACATATGTGCACATTTCTTAAGGTAAACTAATTTTCTTGTAAAGCAATACTTTAACATTTTCCCATTTATTATTCCTACATTTTGGTCAAGAGTGAAATTTATCTCTATGATTTAATTAACTCAAAGTAACACAACTAAAATATGACAGAGCTTGTAATATAGAGTCTCTAAAATGCCAGGTTAATTTTTTCCTTTATCTATGAGCAGTTATTTTATAACAGTTAGACTTGCTGTGTTACCAGAATCAATCTAGAACTTTTCATCAACATTCTTTGGAGAGCAGAAAGCACAGGAAAAACCAATACATAAGGGGCTTTCTCATTTTATTCCTATTTGCAAATTCAAGGTATCCTACTCTATTTCAGCTTCTTCAGTACTTGAATTTCAGGAGGAAAGTAAGTGTTTTTTTTTTTAGATTAAGTTCTAAATATTTCATGAACACCAAATGATTTGGTAACATGAACTCCTTTATACTTGAAATGTAATTAAGAAAAAGGGAAAGGAACAAAACAGTCTACAACAAGAAACTGTGATATGTCTCCTAAATGCATAAGAAAAATCCACTGGACACATTCTAAAATGTTTCTAGATGAGTTTCCATATTTCTACACAATCAAAACTTGAATTCTTGAAGAAAATAAAGTGTTCTTCATTTAAAAAGTTCCTGCTATCACATCTTCCCAATATCTATCATCCTTAGCTTTATATGCCAAACATACGGCACACATTCCCATGCACATTCTAACACATACACAGTAAGTATGCACAGAACATATATATATAAATATCTTTTTAAGAAACAAATTGTAAGATTTAAAGTTACATTGAACCATATAAAATCTAGTATGAAGATTTAAACATGTTAATTGAGGGATAAGTATCTATACTTTCAGAATCTTTTTTCATGTCAAAACTAAATTTCTAATTCCTGACACCGGAGGCCTCATTAAATAATGTTTGCTCTTCTGCTTATGAATGCATTTTTCCCAAACAATAAACACAGGCAGCCTATGGGATTAAAGCACGACAAAGGTGTAGCTGACTCATGGGATCAATTAGAAAGCATCAGTAGTTACACTGTTCGTTCATTCCATGTTTTACTAACAGTTTCTGCGTTTTCAGCACAAGTGTATCACAGATGTTCAACGCCATGCTACAAGGCAACAGCACACTAGTACCTTACACCAGACAGAATAAATCTATTCTTCTCACCACCTACAATTATATCACTTGTTATACAGCATGAATATTTCTTTAAAGTTTTAACAGATGCATAATGTTTTTAACTGAATGCTTACAGCTTCTGGCCCAATGAAAGTATGTCAGCATTTTTTCAGTAAATTTTTAACATTTAAAAAGAACCTACAGAGTTGCCTTTTCTAAGCTAAAAACAATCTTATACAGCCACCGAGTCTAACGCCACCTCAGGTACAGCTTTCCCTCGAAACCTCCTATTAAATTCACAAGCAGGAAAGCCCGTGAGCAGGACGACAAGCAGTTTCAGTCTCCATGCAGTTTGCCCGTGACAGGTTATTGATAGAACAAACAGAATTTGCAATACTTACAGAGTGTTTCTCCTGCTGGCCCATAACTCCATGGTTAGCCGGGATTGCAAGTGGTTTCATAATGAAGAAACATAAGCTGAACTGAATTTACACATCATGTACCAATTTCTTATGGATGGCAAGTCACCCTCTACAGCATTAAATTAAAAGGAGGAGGAGGGGTGGAAAGCAAGCTGAAGCTAAAAGTGTCACTACGGGTAAGCTCAAAACCCCCCTTGCACTTGTAGTGCAGAGCAGCAATCCAAACGACAGCCTTAGTCTCCATTTTTGTAACACGGAAAGTCTAAGCATGTCAGGACGTACAGAGCCTGACGAAACCCTACATATCCAGCATTCATCCAAGGGAACAAAACCATTCCCCGAGCCTGGGGAATGGGAAGGAAAAGAAAAAGGAGGAAAAAAGCTAAAATGGCTGACTGCACAGAGACTCCCTCAAAAAGGCTTAATACAGTATGATATTAGTCAGGGTGCAGGAACCAGCCTCCAGCATTCAGCCAAGCATTGTTAATACTCCTGTTTCGTTTGCAATCACACACACTCACACACGCAGCCTCACCCCCTCCACCACCACCCCTCCACTCCCCCAAAATCAGGGCAGAGCACGCGGATAGGGACCTCCTCCTCTGGCTGCTAATGATGCTGCTGCCAGAGTAGTGACCAGTGATCTCTGTTCCACTCAGCTAACCAAGTTTGCACAATTAATCTTAGCAGCATGTCATTGATGGACATTTAATTTTATGATGCCTGTTCCACGCAATCAAGACAAGCACGTCTACCATCCAAAGAGTCAGCAACAAAAATACAACACAGTTACACACACACACACAAAAACCCAGAGAATCATGAGTCTGAATGCAATACGCCAATATAATCACGTTATTGTGCTTACTTTGGAAGACCATGGCTGCAGGCAGTTGGCATAGCAACGCACAAGGAAAGCCATTTCCTGGGTAGAAAGAATGCTTCCTTTTCTAAATAAAAAATTCCTCTTAGGATACAAACGGCATTGCTGCTTCCTGCAGAAAGCAAAGACACTGTAGTCTGTCTCTTAACCTGCACACAGGCACACACTCAGTGCAGTTCGAGTGATGTAAGTGCATTTCTCTCCCTCTCTCTCTCCTCTCCCTCCCTCTCCCTTTATCAACCGAAATATTCAAGTCAAATGGAAGACACATTCCTTGAGGCTCACCCCCTCAGATACTTAACCATTTCACTCATTAAGGTAGAGATGGACAATGCAGATAAAACAGCAAGCTCTTGCCTGTATCTGGTATCAGCCTCTGGAGATCAAGGCAGCCCCAGAGGGGAGGGATCCGTTCCCTGCTGGCTCCTGAGAATACCAGTGAAGTCAGGGTGGGACTGAGGACCCCCGTTTACCTTGCCAAATCTTGAACTGAACATGACTTTTCATGAAGATGAGGATAAAGCAGAAGGTTTGACATCACCTTCCTTTTTCCTCCACCCAAAAGAGTGCTGCTGCAGAGCTGTAAACATCGTTATCAACTACATATAAACAGGGCACTTGATACGCTCTCTCAGATTTTCAGCAGCTTCGCCACTATGCAGGCCACAGATATCCAGGGGCTGTGGCAGGTAAATGTCCAGAACCCTTTAATCCCTCATTTAAAGTCTTTCTGAATATAGCTCCTGCTTCTCCTCACACACTGAATACACAAATTCCAACAAAAACAAAAGGGGATGCACAATCTGGAAGAGATTGACATACACATTGCTTCTACAATTCTCCTTTCTGACTATAATTATACCTTAAACTCAGAAATTTCCCCAGTCACTCCCATTTACACGATACCACTTCTCGTGTTATACCAGCAACGTCATACTGCAGAGGAGCTGAAACACACCAGGGAACACGCTCAAGCAATAAACTAATTCTCAGCCTTATACCACACACGTCTTAAGGGCCACAAATTCGTGCCACTTGACACAGGGAAGACCAAGCCAGGGCAGACAGGAACACTGGGCTCCAACCTCAGTACGGTTCTCTATAACACATTTACAACACATTCTTTAAAATCAGAGACCATCTGTGCTTAAAGTAACTTCAAAGTCGTTTTTTTTTTAAACAAGAACAATAGAAAAAATACTTAGCAGTTGTTACACAGGCATAAAAATGCACGGAAAAATGAATACTACAGAATACTATGTCATACAATCTGCAGCTGCCTTCCACCAAAATAATGATAATTAGTTTAGTTTGTTACACGGTGATTTCTTTCAGTACTGACAATGACTGCTAGTAAATGAGGCTATTAAAATTAGTGGAAATGAATTCTAGTAAAGCAAGAAAAGATTCTCAACTATCTGGTCTATTTTTTGCATAGTTATTCTAAGGATATATTTCATACACAGCACATTTTAAATTGAATGTATTTAAATTTATGAGAATTTAATGACACTTGTGCCCTTGGTCTTCTAGATGCTTAAAGATAAGTTATTCTTTAAACAACTGAATTACAAAAAAAACTTTTAAAAGTCTTTGTAAAGTGCCAGTGCAACTAAAAGATAGCTTTAAAACGTTAAATTATGCTTAAGCCTTGTAGAACAGTTTAATGCTGAGTGCAATCAATTTCCTGACGAAGCACTGACCAGAAACAGCAGAAGTTATTCATTCTAGAAAGCTTAGACAAACCCCCTCCAGTACTAAATTAGAAAATTTTACTTGTTGACAAAGCAAGTAAAACCCTCTCAAGTCTGATTCGGTGGCCTTGCGGTTAACACCATGAGCAGATTGGAGCATGGGGTATTACGCTCATGTCAGGAAAAAAGATCTGCCAAGACAGAAATGTCTACCCCGCGCAGGAAGGGAGCATGCCGCTTTCTGAACTCCATCACATGCGTAACTATCAACGTGCATTTCCAACCAAAGCACAGCCTAGGTTTCTGTGACATAAGCCTTGAAGAGTAACGTGAAAACATGAATAAAACCATCAAAACAGTAGTGAAAGTCAAAACTTTGACTTTGATGATGCCATCAAACACTTCTTACTACTTATGCTGGTCACTGCTATACGCTTCCGCTCACCTGTCAGTACTTCATACATTAATGCAAAATTTAAAGCAACCTAACGGAGTCTCATTGATGTTCATGTGCATCAGACTGATGAAAACTTGGTGGTTTCCAAAAAAGCCTCTTTACATTCAAAATGTGAAAAGTGATATTTAAGTAATCAGGTGAAGAAAACACCACTCACAGGCAATTTATGAGTCAAAATAACTTCAAGAAATAAATGCTTGATTCCATTTCCCTGTTCCTTTCTCTTCAACTGCCACCACTTTCCAGGTACAGTGTTATTGTATGTACCGTCCATTATCCGCCCAGAAAATAATTACATATAAATTATATTTTATTTAAAAAAATAATTAAAGCAGAAGTTCAGTGAATAGGTATAGGTTTCAGGGAAGAATGAATGGAATTTAAAATCACTGCAGGACACCAGAATAATATATCCTGTAAAGTTTCTATGATAAGCAAGTATTAATAGCTTATATAAAACCTAACTGCAACTTTGTGTTCATGGGTATCTCAAAATCCAAATACCTTGCTTAGACTTTAAAGTTTGAAAAGAGCAAGACATTTTAGGCGATTAAAGTGAGATGTTAATAAAACTGATGTGCAGTAATTGGACGTGATGGGCTATCCCCAGCTGTTTCAAAATATTGTATTTATAAGAAAGCTGGCACCTCTTTATGAGTCACAGAAAAGAACATGAAAAAAACCTTTCAAAAGTAACTACAAATGTTAGGACATCCTTGAACTACCCACAGGATTCAGGATTCATAAAAAGTAGTTCTAAACTCAAGGTAAAAATTGTCAGAGATCTCAGCAGCATGTACCGTCTAACTGTAATGCCTCTCAGCTATTTCACATTCCAATATGTGATCTCACACAGATATTATTCTGCTATGAAGCGTCAACAACGCTTAGAGTATTAAACCTTTTTAGGTTAATGACAAACGCTGCAACAACAGATTACCTCAAATCTTCAATTTCAAGCAGTCACTTTAACACAACTATTTACAGGAGTACTTAAAATTTTATAGATTATGTACACAGAAACCATTATTTTCCTGAAGTTATCAGCACATTTTCCCCCTCCCTTTAAACAAAATGTAAAGTATCATTTCCTTCACGTTCAAAAACTTAGTCAAAAGACAACAG